TTCATGAATACTTTGTGCATGGGAGTTAGAATGAAAGAAAGATTCGCTCTTTTATAAACTTTTTCATCTTTTGGAATCATTGTTTGAGCGCTTGAGGTGAGTGGAGGTTCAAAGTGATCCAAAAGGCCTTTGAATCTTTGACTCCGGGCCTTATAGAGAGTTGACGATCCTCTATATGTGGTCAAGGATATGAATCAACTCGAGCCTTTGAATTCTTTTCTATTTTTAAGTGCGTAAGTTACGTAATATATTGTCTAAGTGCCTATTATACGTGTAATGTTCAATTTGTGTTTGTTCTCTTTTTCATTTTGTTTTGGGTTCTTGGCGGTGTTTCTTGGGTTACCTTAATTGGAGAAGTTGATTATCTTCTGAGCTTGTTTTCCCCCATTTAGTCAAAAAACCAAAAAAATAAGAAAATATAAAAAACCAAAAAATATTTACTTTTTATTCAAACCCCCCCCCCCTTTGTGTTGTGTTTCAGATATATTATAAGTTCTTTGTTTATATAAGTTATAGTTATAAGTTTTTTTATAAGTTTTATACGTCTTATCATATGTGTAGTAGTTTTTTTTATTTTATTTAGTGACAACGTATTTGCATACTAAATTGGTTTTAAAAAGTACAAACTTTCTCCGTGAGATCGACGCTTACTTGCCCTAGCTATAGTTTTTATTTGATTATATTGGGGATTAGCTAAGGATATTTTATAAGTTTTTAATTTGTTTTGGACCGCACGACAAGTCCCCAAGAAATTTTGGCGCCGTTGTCGGGGATAGTTTTGTATGGAATCACTTTAGTATGCCATTGTGTTCATTTTTTTTGTTTATTAGTGAGCATGCCGTCGTAGCCTCTTTTCTTGAGTTTTAATCTATTGTACACGCCTATTAGTAGAATTGAAGATATGCATACGAGAGGAAACTAAAATCAACAAGTTTGTTTGCATTTGTGCTTAACTTTGATTGTCAATGTGCTATTTTGTGAGATTCCGGTACGGTTTCTTGGAAAATATGCATTTTGAACATTATTTTATGCATTTTCCTTGTTGGTTTTTGTTGATACATGCTCCATAGGCTGATTTAGATGCACTTGAAGCTGAAATTGCAAGTAATTTGATTTAAAGTTGCTGATTTTTCTAAAAATCTGCACTTTTTACTTAGCATATGTGCTGATTTTTGTCATTGGAGTGCTCCTTTGCTTCAAATATGAACTATGATTGATATATCTTGTTTTGGGGCACTTTTAAAAACATATCATGAGGTTTATATTGCTGGTTTTTTATGTTTTCAGCGCTTTATTTGAAAATCTGCCCTGAAGTGCTCATTCTGTTGAAAAACTCTGCAATGTTTTACTCATATACATGCTACTTTAAGTTCTGAAAATGCTTATTTACTTAACATTGACCTCAAATGGTTATGAACTTGCATATGAACTAAAGTGAGAGCACCTTGCATGATTTTGAAGCTGTTTATTTTGGCCGTAGATGCTAAAATTCTATCCTGGAAGTGTATTATTGTTAAAAATTTGATTCTGAATTAGGTTGCACACTAAAAATCTGCACCTAGAATCTGAATTTTGTTTCTCATTTGAGCTTCAAGTGATATTTAGTGTAGAATATGGAAACAAAACTGAATTCTAAATTTTAATCTTTATTTGTTTTTAATGAAACATATTTACTTTACTACTTCATGGCTTAATTGAATATGTTTTTGCAAGTAGTAAGCTTTGTCTAGCCAAGGACGTTAAATCGGGCGGCTTATGGGAGGCAACCCACTATCTTTTTAAGTTTTTTTTAAAAAAATTCTTTTTACTTTTAACTTCTAGTAAGTGTTGTACTTTTTTTTCTTCTTCTCTTATAGTTGTTAATTGCATTTTTTTTCCTTCTTAATTTTTTTTAAAACATAACCCACTTACTTTTATAGCGTTTTTAATTTTTCTTTAAGTTCCTTATGCTTACTTCTAACTTTAACTTATTGTTGTTGTTATACTTTTTTTCTCTCTCGTAGTGGTTGTTAATTTGGTTTTCTTTCTTTTTTTTAATTACCAACTTACTTTTCTTATTTTTTTGTATTGATATAATAGTACTTGTTGTAATCATATGATTAGTTTTTTTTCCTTTTTCTCTTTCATTTAGCTTTTGAAAATCAAAACAAAAAAGTATAAAATCAAAACAGAAAAGAGTGATCTTGTTGAGCTTAATTGTTTTTTTTACTTGTGCTTCTAACCATCTACTTTGAGAGCCTTTTGCAAGATTTGTTGAGTTTTAGGTGGAAGCATAGGTGTTTGGAGTAAAATTCTGCACAGAAATGGTGCAAAATATGTTTTGAAACAGGAGCTCTAAGTGCCCGGGTCCAAAAAAAATCATGATAAAGATTGGGAGTGATAATTTGATGCTGCGTATACTTTTTAGTTGAATTTCCCCAATCCCCTTCTCTCTTTGCTCATTCTCTTGGCTGTATCATTGTTGTTTATTTGCATACCATATAGATGCATCGAGCACTATGCACATTTTAAGTGTGGGGGGGGG